CATTAAACACAGGTAAATATTGTGAAAAGAGAACAACAAGTTTTTTTTTCCTAAAATAATAGATTATTCAACATATCAACGTTGATTTATTGAAATTAATAAACAACACGATATTTTAGTATATAAAATGAATGATGAATTATATTCAAAATCAATGATTAATAATGAAAAACAAACATCAGTTGCTAAACTTGTTAATCAATTGTGTTTTTTTTTCCAATCAGACATTTACTCAATGTGTTTGGTACGATAAAAAGTGATCGTAAATCGCGTATTAATATTAAATGTGCTATACTAACATATCTATCACATTTATCAATAATTTGACTATCCTACTGTATGTTTAATGCTTGTTTGAGACTTTTTTTTTGTAAAGTTTCAGTTCAGTAAAATACATTTATTTTATAATCCAAAATTATTTCCAATGTTGTAACAGTAGGAGGACTCAGATGAATAGGATAAATCTGATGAAGGAGCTTGTAGCAGATAGGGATGCAACGGTGACGATCATTCATCGGTTAACCGTGGTACGGTTACCGGTCCCACTACGGTAACCGTAGGTACGGTTACCGTAGTGGGACCGATAACCGTACCTACGGTTATCGTCACTGTTGCATCCCTAGTAGCAGAGTTTAGTTGTCGTGGCTTCAATTGGCTATGGCCTCAAAGTTTTAGTGAAAGTTATCTGATAGATATGAAGATTTTACTATTGAATTGTTGAAACAGAACGATATGAAATTTTTATCTTTTTGAAACCAACAAAAGACTAGAACATTATCAGACTCGAAAATATATTAAGTAGAACACTTTACTAAATAGGTTAGACATACAAAAGTTTTAAAGTCCAGAGGCTGCATTTATATATATCAGAGATTGAAATTATACAGTCACATAATTATCTCAAAAACAAAGTTCGAAGCTAAAGTACGAATTTCGTACATATCTAGTACGAAAGAGATGTTCAGTTTTTCATTATGATATGGAATCAATTGTATTCTCGAATGAGTTTTTCTTTAATCTTTGAAGATTTCTGATTAAATAAAAATTTTCTAATTGATATGAAATTCTTATCTTTATATGACTTGCAATGCATTAAAATCTATCGAACTTTGAGATATCTTTCTTTTTTCTTTAAGATATTACATATCTTTTATCTTTATGTGAACATGACGATCTACATTTATATGATACATATGCAAATTTCCTTGCTACATTAATTAAAAAGAACAATTCATCTTTTAAGACTATTATCATTATCAAATTCATTTAATAATTCTTTTATTAATGAATATTCACTTGTATCAATTGATTCACAAGACAGTTCAAGGTTAGATTAGAATATTTAATCGTCTCTTGTTTTTGATAAAAATATTTTTTCTTTTTGTTTTTAAATATATTCAATTAAGTATCTTAGCAGAATTACTTTCTACATTTCGATTATGTCTTTAGGATAATAATGCACATGTTATACATTTACAATCATAGGAATTGAATTATTAGAAGATTCTACTCAATATAGTACAAGTTCTTATATTCTTGCTAAAGTAGACAAATGAAACTTATGATTACAGTAAACTGTTTATGTGTATAAAATAGGTTGCTCTAGCTCAAACTGTGCATTATATTGATTTTCTTGAATACTAACTTATCTGGAACAACAATAACAACAGATAAAAAAACAGTAAATTAAAACTAATCATATATGGAAGATAAAAACAATATCTTGGTTTTTTTTGTTTTACTTTTATTTTTAGAATCGATCATGATTTGATCATTGTATTGACATTATCTTTCTATTTCTTACTGATAATGATACAAGTGTTCGTCCAGCAGCTACTTTAACTTTTGCTAAGTGTGTCAATTGTAGAGATGTTAGTTAACTAGGTAGTTTTATTTTCGAAGTTGAATAATGCATCAGTCGATTTTATTGTATTAAGTTAGTTACTAGCTACTTTTTGATTTTAAGGTTTGTTGATCACAATTGATTTTTTTTGTGTATCAATGGTCAATACATTATTTACCTAAATGGATCAATTCTTCCTGTCAATGGGTGCATAAAATTCATTATTCATTACAACAAACAAATACTTCTGTAATTATATTCAATGATGGAGTACAATGTGAAACAATATCATGTTTACCAACATTAATATTTGATTGTTTAGCTCAAACATCCACTCGAATGTAAATTGTTTGTTATTTTTGTCTTTTATATAAGTTGGATGTTTAGAAGGTATTTATGTTCTTTCAAATGTTTTAGGATCAACAACAATTCGATCATTTTTTTTCATAATCAATATGATGAACTTTGTTTAGTTATACATCTATTTATATGGAATGATCTTAATAATTTACAATTATTACTCGATAATAATAATTTAATTTTTTGAAGATTTATCAAATCTTAACAAATGAAAAAATGTTTTTAAAATAGCACAAATGATTCAAGTTATTCAAAAATTGAATTATTTTATTAATGTTCTTGAACTATTACAAAAAACTTCACAATCATCATTTTTTTTGTGCAGGAGATCATTTTCTATAATTGATATTTCAGCTTTCGTAGAAGAAAGGAGTTCTAAAGTTTTAGATTTAAAGAATGTGTTGGATCATGTCTTGTCTGCAGTACTTCTTCTAGCAATAAGCTACGGAAAGGGAGTCTTTTCAGGATATTCATAGCTTATTTCGGTCTACAAGAAGCATATGCTCTCGATCCACAAGTAATTTATCAGTTTGAAGAACTTCCCTTCTCAGTACCACAAATACTTGAGAATTTTTTTAAGAATATTCTCATGTAAACATATAAGTTTTGTTTTTTATTTATTTAGTGAAAATAACAAAGCATTATCAATTATAAATTGTTAATGCTTCTACGATTATTATTATCCTTCATTTACACGATCAATCTGAATAATGATAAGATTTTATCCATGACATTATCAGCTTCAGAAAAAATATTTGGTTATTCTTTTATTCGGACTTTAAATATCAATGATTGAAATAAAAACTAATTTATTATTTAAAATTTTATTGACAAAGGTAACGTTTTTTTCTAATGAACAAATGCAATCCTATTGAAAAAGCAAAAATAACTTTGCATTAATAATAAAAAACTAGTTGTCGAAAATTAAAACAATAATGTATTTGTGATTAACACAATACACATGATTTAAGACTCAGGTTGTTTTTTTCCTTTTTTATACGTCATCATTGATGATAAATTTGACAATAGTTTCACACACACGCACCTACATCAACGGAAAAATTTTCTTTTCACTTTGTATAGTTCTCACCGCCAAACTAACAAGGTTAAAATATTAGCTACTGTTGGCTTGCCTAGAGGGAGATAGAGAGATTTTAAATTTAGGTATAAAAATGAATCAGAAAAGGTTTTCTCCACTATTATAAGGACAAAACATAGTGTTGTTCGAGGCGATTATGGGGTTTGTAGGGTCCCTCTTTCACATGGCTCGAACAACACTATGTTCTGTTCTCATAATAGTAGGGTATTTCTATCAACCACTAGGAAAATTAAATCTGCTATTATAGGGACCAAACACAGTGTTGCTTGAGCCATATGAAAGAGGAACCCTACAAACCCCATAATCGCCTCGAACAACACTATGTTTTGTCCTTATAATAGTGGAGAAAACCTTTTCTAATTCATTTTTATACCTAAATTTAAAATCTCAATATCTTCCTTTAGGCAAGCCAACAGCAGCTAATATTTTAATCTTGTTAGTTTGGCAGTGAGAGCTTTCATTTGAGGCCAAAATATAAAGTCTAGCTCGATTACAATACAAATACCTCCATTGTCAGTTCGACTGTCAGTTTCTGTCCCAATCTCGATGAAGAAAGAAAAATATTCGCTCCTCATTTTTTCGGAATCGGATTCCATCTTGTTCATATCTTATAAGAATACATGAGTGATGACAATATGACATTCTAGGTAAATTGAACACAGCTGAGAAAGGTACTTGCACTAGTGAAAAAACGTCGATTATTGTCTGAACCTTAGTCATACTTGGTCGATATCTGATTCTTTTTGTTCTATTGGTACGTATAATCAACGTCAGAGAACAATTCCATTTGTCATCAATCCGGAAAACTTCAGTTCTAGAATCGATAAATAGAGAAGAGGAACACAAATAGACGGTAGTATCCTGCAGGAATGCTTTTTCCGAATCCATCTTCTGCGTTGAACTGTCTGGGTGTAGATGTAAGTGTGAATGTGAGGTGTGACTGTGGTGGAAGTGAAGGTACATACTAGCATCCACATACTTCATGAGACATGTGTATAAAACCAACATCACTCATATTAATTGGTTTATAAAAGCATTTTTTTAAGTCCAAATCAAATGTCATGTTTTTTTTATACAAACAGCAAAACATGCTAGATGAGAATGACAGTAATTACAAAATGTATGGAATAAGACAAATATAACTCCTATACACGGAATTTTTTATTTTGTTATTGTTAAATCGGTTCATGATCTTCACTTCTTTCGTATCACATTCATTCAATGTATTTGTCTATCACATGTGTTGATATATGACATTCGTGATCGATTTGATAAATCAACAATAATTAATACTAAAAGAACTGAGTATCTAACATATCCATTGGCCAGATTCTACGATTTTACTCTTTAGTTTATTTTAATGGAAAACTGTGAACAGCAAATGATTGATTTTTTTTTCATGATTAAATTATTATCAATATAATCCAAACAATAAAGTATCATCGTTGATAGTAGATCATACTTACAAAAAATAGAACCGAGTTAGATAATATTCTATTGTTTTCTAGTTTGCTACAGTTTCACTTAGAAATAATAGAAACTAATATAGAATACAACGAATAAGTTTCTAATGAAAATATTTTTTATTTAGTACAATATCAAATGATGAATAATTTATATTTTTGACTCTTTTATAATGGAAAAAATTTTTGATATGATTTATTGCTATTGCATCTATCTCACAATATAAAATTGAATTTACAATGAAGGAAAATATTGATAAACATCTTTGGAAAATTGTCTTGATTCTTCAATAATTAATCGTTCCACTTTTGAACAATTGCGTCGCGTTGTATTTCTTGTAAAATTCATTGTTACAGTTTTTAATTGATTATATTTGATTTTTAATTCAGTTAGACAAGGTAAATGTGTTTTTGTTTCGAGTAGAAATTGTACAACATAATCTATATTGACATACGCAATATCAAGTGATATAAGATGAGAATATTCAATAATAGAATAAGATAGATTGTTATTAGATTTGAATTCATCACAATTCCATGATTGTTCCATTTCATTTTTCAAAGAGAAACATTTAAGCATTGGACAATCTCGATTAATTCTCATGAAGAATTCATGTTTCATTGAAACTTCATCGTAGACATACAAATGAGTTACAGTGTTTAATCCAATGGTTGGAAATTGATTTGTGATTTTTTCCAGATAAGTAAATGTAAATGGAAGTGAGTAAACATGTGTAATCGTAGAGCCTATGACATTATCTAAGATACAATCCGTTTGTCCATATTTCCAGTTTGTAAATGTTTGTTGAATATTTTCAAGAGACTTATGAGGAATTAAACGATGAGTGTAAATTTCTGTGCTTATATAAAAGATAAATATCTGAAGTTTAGGCATATGAACAAGAATTTCATTATGAAGATGTGTACCATCGATGATGTAACGATTTGGTGTACGAATACGAAGATATAAAGTTAACTTTTCAAGATATGTCATGCGACGAAGAAGTGGAACAACCAACTCGTCATAATCAAAAGTAATATTATAACTTGTTAATGAAAAACATTTTAAATTATGTAACTCATCCTATAAAATACAAAAATATCTTTGAAATAGATATTTATCAGTTTTTTCAAGAGATTTTAAAATCTACATGAAATATCTTTAATATTATTAAATAGAATAATTCTCATTTCTACAATGAAACTATTATTATAAGAGATAAAGTGTATTGGATAGAAAACTCCATTGGCTATTAAAATCACTATTTGGATTGGAGTTACATGCTTAGCATTATGAAAAAAACCAAAAAAATTGTTGTTCCCAAACTTTTTTCCATCGTTTTATTTAAGGTAAGAGAAAAATTTCTTCTGAGAATATCATCTTTCATCATATGTGTATTTTCAAGTTTTTTTTTCAATCCAGAGAATTCTATGATGAATACATAACGCGAATAAATTCTGCTATTTTTGTTGTTGTTGATGATTTATGAAAAATTCCTTCCGTCCTGTTAACTATG